AAAAGGAAGAAGGAAAGAAAAGCGGCATGCAAATACTTATCCCATAAGCGTTTCGATTCGATTAAAAATTAATTTTCGTGTGTTGTGATGTGATGAAGGTGTTCTGGTGTAGTTAATGCGACCAAATGTGAAACAACCAAATTAAACACATAATAATAATAATAAAACATGAATGCAAAAAAACACAAAAAAAACAACTGAAAACAATGAAAATGAAAGCGCAGCGGCGGCTCATGGAAAAAGTATTTCGAAAACGTAATAGTCACCTGAAGTAGGTGGCGTATTATTACCCCCTCTACTGTTTCGCGTGTTGCGTATGCGCCGCAGGGAGCCCTGTCGGCGGCGCCGATGCGGCCGATTGTTGTTTGCCCCCGGCGTCTTCTTCCACAGGTAGTAAAACTCTACCAATTCAGGCTACAAACACAAAACACACAATATTAACACTAAATATTAACAATCAAGTGCGCAAAGTGGTACTTTATCCACTCTTTAGTCTTATTTCTTCAACTTCCACTTTATTTCAACATTTAACAAGCTTAAATCATGACTAAAGTACTTTTAATCACTTTAGTCACGGCCGTGGTTAAAGTTAATGAATTATAATCATCTTACTGTATCCCTGTGAGGCAAGAGATCCTTGCGAATGCGAAAGAAATTCTTGCCGAATTGTCGCAGGCCCTTGACGAAGCGCTTCGTCTCCTCCTCGGACCACTTCTGATGAATGCCCTTGGGCACCGGGCACTTGACGAGCGCCTGCAGCGCCCGCCCCGGGTCGTAGCCGCTGTCGTGCAGCACGTCCAACGCGTTGATCGTGGTATCGTCGCGGCTAGCAGCGTTCGCACCGTCCTCCGGACACCCGCCGTCGCACATGCCGGCGAAGGCGGCCATCGAGCGCGCCGCGCGCAGGTACATCAGCAGGTCCGTGTCGAGCGTCATCGCCGGCACCCATCGCAGCTCCTCGCGGGTGCGCGAGTGCTCCGGATCGGGCGGCAGTTGATCAGCGGGTATCGCCGGTCGGTAATCCGGCAAACGTGCCTAAAA